TGACTGGGGAAATGGGCACAGTATGCACTGTGAGCAGGACACAGAAGCTGGCAGCAGTGGCAGACAACTGACTGCTATTCAATCTATAACAGTGAAAAAAGTGTTTTTTTTAAATCCAAGCTTTGTGTCACCAGATCTAAGTGGTGGCAATGGGCACAGTATGCACTGTGAGCCTGACACAGAAGCTGGCAGCAGTGGCAGACAACTGACTGCTATTCAATCTATAACAGTGAAAAAAGTTTTTTGTTTTTAAATCCAAGCTATTGTGACACCAGATGTAAGTGGTGGCACTGACTGGGGAAATGGGCACAGTATGCACTGTGAGCCTGACACAGAAGCTGGCAGCAGTGGCAGACAACTAAGTGCAATTACATTACATAGAAAAAAATAAATAAAAAAAAGCATACCCTAACCCTAACCTAGCTATGCTTTTCCCTATCTTATGAACAGCAGCTACACTTTCCCTCCTCTTACTAAGCATGCAGCTTGAGAATGAATCTAAAATGGATGCCTTCCAGGAGGTGGGAGGGTCTGCTAGGGAGGGTGTGCTGCTAATTGGCTGGAATGTGTCTGCTGACTGTGAGGTACAGGGTCAAAGTTTACTCAATGATGACGAATAGGGGGCGGGTCGAACCGCGCATATGTTCGCCCGCCGTGGCGAACGCGAACATGCTATGTTCGCCAGGAACCGTTCGCCGGCGAACCGTTCGGTACATCACTAGTGGTAACCTCTGGTGGTGTGGTTTTGGAATTACTGCATAATATATGAGATATTGCTTACTCTTCTTATCATTGAATCCACTGGTTTTTGAATGTTGCTATTTACTACTTTAACACTTCAAAGATCTAATACAATCCATATCATTGTTGCAATCTGATATTTAAAGATTCTATATTAAAATGTCCTTCTAATTAACCAAACTGGTAATGAATTTTTTTTTTATAATTGTAGGGTCTGTAAGCTTCATAAGTACTGCTATAATGGGAGGAAATAGATAATTTTGGGTCTTTTTTTTAATGTTTATTTGTGCGACACAAAAATGTAAAAGTCTGTAGGACTTTGGGACACAACAGTAACCTATCATTTCTACACTAAGACTCAACTCTTCATGGAATGAAAGTGTGGTATGGCACACCAGAGCCATGATTTCATCCATTTGCATATTATCTTTAATTTTAGATATTCTAATCTCCATCTGGGGAATAATGTCTCTAAGATAATAATCAGTGAGGGCCCTTTGAGGAGCTAGTGCAATCTGAATAGCATCTGTTGTTGTATAGTTAAACCCTCTATAGTGTGTGACAATAAAAATGCCCAAGGGTCAAGGTCAAAAAGTCTGTGAAAGATGTCTTGTAAGTGGGGCACACACTCACATTGAAAGGGATTACCTTGGGATATGAAAACCACATGTGGTAGTAAGTCCACAGGAGCACCAACATACATCCATGAAGGGAAAGCCCATATGATGCATTTCTACAGGGATATGTACCATTGAAAGCTTAGTGGCAGCTACTTTTTGGCTCTTTTGCAGGACATCGGGACACTGCAATAACCAAATTCATAATGTCTCAATTTAATGGTTTGGTGCATAAACCCTATTGATTTTTGAGAAAAGGCAATATTTACATTTGTCAAAGAACACGCCTCTATCACGCAGACCGCTATCAAAGACCTTTCTTCCTCAAGACATTCAAAGGTTTTCATGTTTGGTGTCATTACACACAACAGGATTACACAGAACACATGCAATGCTTCTCTATAAGAAGACTCTATAACATCGGCGATCTCAAGAGTCAATGCTTTTCTATAAGAAGTATCAGATTGACAGGGCATTGCAAGTGCCATGGATCCCCAATGCTTCTCAATAAGATGCATTGACTTGGACAAAGGTCATCAGGATTGATGACTCCACAGAAGGTGGAGCTGTTGGTGCAAGGAGACTGAAAAAAGGAAAACGTAAGTATTACAGCAATTTAAAAAAATAAAATAATAATCTATAGCACTCTAATAAAAAAAAAAGTTATTATAGTTATATAATTTCACATTAAATACATGCTTTGTTTGAGAAAGGTTGCACTACAGTATAGATTTTACCATTAATTTACATGTCATATAATGTATTAAAAAGAAAGAAAAGCACAATAAAATGAGATAAATAAATAAATAAATAAAACAAAACGCAAACCAGATATTTACCTAAGCATGTCTCACTCTTATGGAGTCTATCCCTATTTTTTACTGTAATATATAGATAATGCATTAAAATAAACAAATGTAAAAAATTAAGAAAAAGGAAAAATAAAAATGTTCTTGCACTTTAAATTTCTTTCGTTTGTTGCAGATCCCAGGTTTTGCTTCTTTCCTGTTGTCAGCTGTGCTCAAAATAGCAATAAGTAACATCTGTCAGCCAATCTTAGCTTTCCAATTATTTTCAGTTAGTGGGTTTAGTATATTCCTTAAAACCCTGCTTAGCTCAGCACAGCCTGCTATGCACACTTATAAAAGCTGTGGTGCCAATGTGAGTGAGGTGTGAGCTGACAGCTTGTTATCATCAACTGTGTGCAGGGACATAGCACACGGACACTTGTTTTCTCTACCATACAAAGAGCATAAGTTGTTAGTTCAAAAGTGACGCCTTTTTCATGCTCAGTACGGAAAGCCCCGTAAAAGCATGTTGAACATTGTTCTGGAAAATGTGCAGTGCTTCTTCCATGCAAGTTAATGTGAAGTTTAAAAACATATAAACTTGGATATTTTTTAAGAACTGTCTACATTTTTATATTAGTAATTAAACATTGTGCCTGGAGGTGCCTTAATGCAGACAATTTCAATCTAAGTATTTGAACCGTGTTTTAAATTTATAGCAAGATCCTCATCATTAACCTACAGATCCTACAGCTTGACCTGATTTCCATGTATTTAATTACTAGCTTTTATGCTTAGTTCTGCTTCTGTCTTATCTGCCATTTAGTTGACCCTGCCTACGGGTTTGGCAGTATGAGTGTACAACCCTGAAGTCTAAACTCTCAGGTTCCGTGATACTATCGATGAGCATTTGGACTCTTGGTCCATAATAGTTTAGGAATGTGATGTAGCACTACAAGGGTTCCCTCTTTTGCCGACAATATTCATCTTTAGCCTAGAACGCGTGATTTGACAAATAAAACAAAATCCAACCATCAGTGGGTTGTTAACCCCATGTGGGGAGCAAAAAATAGCACTCTTCGCAGATGATGTGCTGCTATTTCTAACCAATCCCAACAAATCTCTCCCCTGTCTGCTGGAACTCCTTGAAACTTATGGAAAGGTTTTGTACTATAGGAATAACACAAAAAACCCCAACCCCAAAACAGGCCCTACCAATTAGCATTCCCGAATCCCAATTATATAGTACAATAGCTACAGAAAATCACCAGTTGGACTGTCATAAAACCGTAATACATACCTGGGTATCAAGCTGATTAAAATTCAGACTGATACAAGAGAATCATATAGCTCTCTTACATAAAACAGATGGTTGGTTGAGGAAAAGGGAGGATATGGAAATGTTGTGGTTGGGTTGCGTGCACACAATTAAAATTATATAATCTCATATACTGTACCTGTTTCATACTATCCCCTTTGCTGAAAAAAAATCCAGATTCTCCTCGTCGAATATATTTGGAAGGCAAAACCTCCATGCATATCAAATTGCATGTCTTGGTTTACATTTAATAAAGGCAACCTTGGCATTCCTGACATAATTAGATACTATAGAGCTTCTTTAGTAATGCAGGAACTGATGTTGCTTACCAGATCTACTCTACCCATATGGACACACTTGTGTCACAGAAAATGCTTGTATAAAACCAAACACATTAGCCCAATTGTTATGGACTGTCTCGGTGCCAACTGTACATAATTTACACAAGATTTCTACCACAAGACTTCTCCTTAAGATCTGGAAACAGTGGGCCCCTGCTTTAATAGGTACCTCTTATATCCTGCCACTAGCCCCATTACATATGCTTACAAGCTTAATACCTGACCTCTTTCTTACTAAGTGGACTGAGAATGGAATTCTTAAAGTATATGATTCATGTCACAACACAGGGATTAAAGCATTTACTAAACTTCAATGGGAATATTCTCTCCCTCAGAGAGAATTGTTTACTTATCTACGACTCAAAAACTTTATTATGTCTAAACACATTCAGGCCCCATCTGCCAACATGGTTACCCTCTAGATTAGAGAGCCGTATGGTTAAAGGTACATCCACTAAGACTTGCTCTTTGTGTTACAACTGGTTTATTATGGCTGAAATCTAGGTAAAACTCCCATACATGACCATATGGGAAAGAGATTTGAGCAAAGATTTCTCTCTTTCATCCGGTTTAAGCTTAATACAAACAACCAAAAATGCATCAGTAGCTTATCGCATTGGGAAGCTTTTAGCAAAATCCTAATGAAATGATACCTAGTTCCCCTAAGACTCTCAAAAATGTATACCACTGTTTTACCCATTTGTTGGAGATGTTAACAAGTGGAAGGCTCACTGATATATATCTTTTGGGACCTCCCAATCCTACTTAATTCGGGAATAAGGTGGTGTTATGAACGCTGGTATAGTAGATACCCTGTTCGCCTTTTCCTCCTGAACTCCTGAGCCTGAGTGATTATAGCTGCAGTTCGGGTGTAGATTCGAATAGTTCCAGATTAATGCAGCATCCAAGTAGTTTATCCCCAGAAAGTAGACAGTTACCCAAACATGAGCCTAAACTTCATGAAGGGTACAACAGAAATGAATTTTAATGGTGCCACACTGGCTTTTATGCAAGTCCCCATGCAAGGGGCACTCCCACATTGACCTTGTGGGGGACAGGGACATGAAGGTTACAGCCAATAATATTACAGTGGCAAAGTGTGACACTCCCAATACAAACAGATAATTCCCTCCTCTCTGCCTGTGAGATAATTGAGTCAGCTAGATTAATAACTCAATTATCTCCAGGCAGTAAAAACATTTTCCCTAAAACCTAGAAAGTACCCTAAAACACATAACATCCCCATAAATGTCATATCTGGGTGACCAACATATCCAAAAATCACCCAGATCAGTTCAGGGGTTTTCGAATTTTATGGAAGTCCCATTTGTACCGACAGCACACAAGGCCCAGAAACAGTTCCATGAGATTAGGCTGTGTGGTCGGTCTATTTCGGAAAGTCACAAAAATGAAATAATACACGAACGGATCCCCCTGACTCATAGTAGCGATTGTTCCCCTTGTTCGTGGGAACCAAACTACCGAACAGCGCTCTCCTAGCTGTTCGGGAAAAGGAAGCAGGCGTTTGTATGGTATGACCGGTGTTCGGGAAGTCGAGTGTCCGATTTTAGTTCCAGACACTCGACGACCAAGTCCTGCTGCCTCCATTTGTGCAATCAAGATGGCCGCCGTTTTCTCCTGCACGTGGTGTTCGGCTATACGAATGGGAGAGCGCTTAATTGATGGTTTCCTTTGAAGATAATGAGTTGGGGGGAGGGAGGGAGGGGAGTGGTCGGTGTAAGGTAATTACAGCTACCGAACCAATAAAACATAAAAAAGTCCCGAATGGCATGCTATTTTCTTCACGGGTGGGATAACTGGTGTCTGACTGATAGCAGGTACTCAAAATTATACTAAATGCTACACTAGGATGCAATAATCTACTGCATATAATGGATGGTATGTTATAAACAGATTACATAATAATAACAAAAAAAAATGTACATTGCACACTGGTGTGACAATGTGTTGTGCTTTTATTTATATATTATTATTCCTTTCTGTTGAAATGTTATTTGCCTCTATTTGTGATGTCTAAGCCCAAACTGTGAAGTGGTCTCTGTTCCGGGTAGTGAACATTTTACATGAATAGCTGTACAGGAGATGCGTTGATTGACCTGTCTGTAATTTCTTATTGTTTTGAAAATCTCAATAGAAATCATTCATTGCAAAAAATGAATGTGATGTAGGTTTGCTTCAGCTTCTTAAATCACATTCATCACCACTCACACCAAAAAGCCCAGCTAACCCATTCATTACATCTGTACAAATAGTTAAAGAAACACTATATGGCAATAGTTGCAGAAAAATAGTAATTGGCTATCTCTAGACAAAGTGCTGCAGCAACTAAATAAAGTTAATATAAACTAAGCTTCAGGGCCTGACAGTATTCATCCACGAGTACTTAAGGAACTAAGTGTAGAAAAAAGTGAACCTCTGTTTTTAATCTTTCAAGATTCTTTTCTTTCAGGAAGGATTGGAGGAAGGCAGATGTGGTTCCTATATTCAAAAAGGGTTCAAAATCCTCGCCTGGAAATTATAGACCTGTGAGCTTAACTTATGTGGCTGGAAAAGTATTTAAAAGTTAATAAGTGATAATATTTAAGAATTCCTTGAGAAGAACTTGGTTATCAGCAAAAATCACCATGGTTTTATGAAGCACAGGTCATGTCAAACTAACTTGATTGCATACTACGAAGAAGTAATTAGAAGTATAGATCAGTGAATGTGATCTATTTGGATTTTGCCAAGGCATTTGATACAGTACAATAGATTAGTGTTCCAACTCAAAGAAATCGGTCAAGATGAAAATTCTTGTTCTTGGGTAGAACATTGGCTTCAAAACAGAGTACAAAGAATTGTCATTAATGGCAATTTTTCAAGCTGGACAGAAGTGGCAAGTGGTGTCCCTCAGGGTTCTGTTCTGGGACCTCTTCTATTTAACTTGTTATAAATGATCTTGAAAAAAGCATTGAAAGTCATGTTTCAGTGTTTCCAGATGACACAAAACTCTGTAAAGTAGTACAGTGTGAGCAGGATATTAATTTGCTGCAGAGGGATTTAGATAGACTGGGCAATCAAATGGCAGATTAAATTTAATGTTGAAAAATGCAAAGTTATGCACTTCGGCGTAAAGAATGCACAAGCAACTTATACCCTTAATGGATGCGAATTAGGGAGAACAACACACAAAAAGGACTTGGGAATTGTTAAAGACAACAAACTATGCAACAATGTGCAATGTCAATTAGCAGTGGCTAAGGCCAGTCAGGTAGTCATGCATTGAAAAAGGGCATTCATTCTCGGGATGAGAATATCATTTTGCCTCTTTATAAATCCCTAGTAAATCCACATCTTGAATATGCTGTGCAATTTTGGGAACCTTTTCTAAAGGAGGATATTATGGCACTAGAAAAAGTGCAGAGGTGTGCTACAAAATTAATAAAAGAAATGGAACATTTCAGCTAACAAATTTAACAAATTTAAACCTCTTTAGTTTAGAAAAATGTCACCTCAGAGGGGATATGATAATATTATACAAATATATCAGGGGTCAATAAAGACCATTGTGGGGAAATCTATTCACAAACCGGACTTTACGTAGGACACAAGGTCATGCGTTTAGACTGGAAGAAAGAAGATTTTGTCTAAGGAAAAGAAAATATTTTTTTTACTGTACTATAAGGATGTGGAATTCTCTGCCTGAAGAAGTGGTTTTATCAGAGTCCATACAGATGTTCAAACAGCAACTAGATGCATACTTGCAACACCAGAATATTCAAGGATATTATTTTTCAATGCAGGGTAATAGCTTCTTGATCCAAGGATTAATCTGACTGACATTCTGGGGCCAAGAAGGAATTTTTTTTATAGTTTGTTGCAAAATTGGAAGTGCTTCGAACTGTTTTTTTTGTTGCCTTCTTTTGAATCAACAGCAAAAAAACATATGTGAGGAAGGCTGAACTTGATGACACAAGTCTCTTTTCAGCTATGTAACTATGTAACTATAGTGTCAGGGATACAAATATATATTCCTGACACTATAGTGTTGGTGTGGCTATTTAGATCCCAGGCTCACTTGTCAGAGCAATGAAAAGGGGATTTTTACAGCTTTTTTTCACACCACGGCCTGCCCAGCCTCCTTGGTTGAGATAATCAGTCTTGATGATCTCAGCCAATCCAATGCAAGGCTATTGTGCATGTGTGGCAAAATGCCATGCTGTGCCATTCAGCATCTCCTCATAGAGATGGACTGAATCAATGCATCTTTATGGGGTACTTTCAGTGCCTCCATGCAGAGCGTGGAGACGCTGAATGCCAATGCTACACACTGTGCCACACTGAGATAGAAAGTACCTCTTGTGGCCATCTGAGTGAGTCACTATGCACCAATGTAAACACTGCCTTTTCTCTAAAAAGACGGCATTTACATTGAAAAACCTGCAAGGATAGGCTATAGACAACAGAACAACTAAATTAAGCTGCAGTAGTTCTGGTGAATACAGTGTCCCTTTAAATAGCATCTAACTTCTTCTCTTTTACATTCAAACATCTGTTATTCTGTTATAACAATAAATATGCACAGATGTTCACGTTTCTGTACTGTCTGTTTTTCTACTACTACAGACGTAGCTCGGAGGCCTCCAAATTCCTATCTATGGCCACCTTTGTGGGTCTCATGTAGTTGTTCGATTACCCGGCAACACTTTTCGCTCCACTGATGAGCTGTTACCCATACTCATATCAGTGCCCCAAGCTCATGCATGCAGGACATCTCCAGGGCTGACCCTTTTTTAGAATGCCCTCACACACCATGTTCAACTGTCTACTCTCTAAAGTCCTTCAATAAATCCTCAGAAACACACTGCTTTAGAGATAAGCCTATCAATACATCCCTTAACTCCTCATCCCTGATAAGCTTTCGCCTCCCCAACACCACTTTTATACTTTCAAGCATTTCCTCTATATATTTTTCTCACATCCTTTTACATAGTAAGCTCCTTTGGGCAGGCCCCTCTTTGCTTACTGTTGCTGTATGTCAAATTCCAATTCCAATTATTTATATACTGCCACAGTGCAGTACAATAGGCTAAACAAGACAAACAACTAATCCTAGTTGCCTGTTAGGATTAGTTGTTTGTCTTGTTTAGCCTATTGTATATCACTGTTGAATATGTTGGCAGTATAAAAATAATTGTAACTTGAATGGATGTCACCAAAGTATGGCTAAAGTTCTCACATAACTCTGGATAAGATCAAAGATATTAACACAAAGTACCATCTTGTTTGAGCTAAAGTTAGATAGAGAAAAACTTTCTATTTGTCCACCCATCTATCTGTTGTTTCCTGGGGGAAGTTTTGTACTATTTGTAATTTTTCTGTAGGAAGTCTTGTACTATGGCTAGCTTCTTGCACCAAAAAATTATGTTGCATTCCTACAGCTGTGCACTTTCTTACCAAAAAAACCCTTCACCTCTCTTATCTCTACCTTCTCATGGGAATCCATGTGCCTCTTTCAAACTTTTAATTCACTGTCTGTCTCCCTATCTAATCAACATTATCTAATCTGTCTATTCTATCCAAGCTAATCTGTCCAACCCAATTACACTGCTCTAATCGGATTGAATCGATCCAATCTAATCTGGCCTGCTTAACCTAGTCTTTTATGCCACCACCAATATCTTCAAACATATTCACATAACTGCCTTTCTTATCTCTGCTCTGTAAGTGCTTTAAACTTACCAGACGGACTTTGTGTTACACTCTTCCAATCGTCCTCTGTGTCTTCATCCTTATCATCATCCCAGTCATGGTTAGTGAGCAGTGGCAGAGACACAGCATTCTTAATGATTGGGGAAATAGGAGGTGGTGGACATATGGGAGATCCAGTATTGGATTGTCCTGATGACACCCACCTAGTTTGGCGCAAATTTCTTGTAAAGTGGCTCCATCGATTGTGACTATGCTTCTCTTGGAATTTGCTCAGAAAGGATGCATCTCCAAATACTTCTCCTTTCCTACCAACATGCACAGTGTGGCGAAAGTCTCCTAGTGGAGGACTTATCATATCTGTGGTCAGTTCCAAACGACGTTCTCGCTTTGAGCGAGCAACCAGACTTTTTATAACTGGTATGCTCCCAAAATTCATTTTGAGTCTAGTTTGTGAAGAGTGTCACTACAGCAAAGGTAAGACAGCACAAGGCATTGAGTTGTGTGGATACAATATTGTTTTAAAGGATCCAGACAATTTTGTTTGGTAACAGTGTCTGTTATATTGTGAATTTGCAACAATCAACCATAACGTAAAGCTTCTTTATTGTTGTCTGTCTGGTACAAATTTAATGACATCAGTAATCTATATGTGACTTGTATAATATAGGTACTTATTGAAATCCAATGTACTGTGGTCTATTCTTCACAAAAGATCATGTGGCATTGAAATAAACATCTGGGGAACTGATATTCCAGAAAAAGTCCTTTAATTGTCGTTATTTTTTCTTTTCTTTTTGTGTACCTCTTGTTGTTCATGAACTGATTTTTCTCCAACATAAACCTGTAAATAGCACAAAATATTCATGGTTAGAAACTAAGTAACACATAACGTTTAAATTTTGTAGATCTTGACATAACATTATTTTCACTAGTCTTTCTCACCACAGTTTACATACTCAGCAAACCCATGAAACTGTTAATTAATATAAATCCATGTTTCCATCTCTTTTTCTTGCCCCATCCCTTGACCCTGCTGTGTTATTGACTGAATTTCATGGGAGGGATCTCACTTTTATACCATCATCTAAATTACCTACTGCATATGCCAAAGAGGAAGCAATGAAATAGAGATCTTTGCCATAAGAGTCACATATTCTGAGTCCTTGCCATAATCAAGTGTATGGAGATACAGAGCTATGAAATCATGAGAAATTTAATTAGAGAAATCATGAAAAAAACAGCCAAGCAGTCTGCACTCATAAGGATCTCAGAAAAATCTAAAATGAAGATCAGAGAAAGTGCATTCTTCATTACAGAAAAAATGGATAACAACATGCCATAAAAATGTGCCGACCTCATCAGTGACAGGCATTTCAAAATCTTAAAATGCATTTTCTCTTTTTCACTTTCTGGAGAGTCCAAGGTTTGAAAAATGCAACAATGGCAACAATACAATAATACAAAAAAAAATGAACTACTTGCACCTGCTAGGGGAAAAGCAAAAATATGACAAACTTACAGTAACTCTTTAATAAAGCATCAGGACAGGCGTGAAACGCGTCCAGAGTAGCAGCATTTCACAGTTTGGTGAAGTCCTGCTACAGTTTAGAGACAATTTATAGGGTCAAAAAATTGAGAAATTTAAAAAAAAACAACAACAACAATGTTGTTATCTAAATGAGTTAACATACTACACCATGATGTTTTTAGATTTGTGTGTTATACAGGCTCTATAATATAATTGATAACATACTGTAAGGCCTACTTGCTTGCAATTGCCCGGAAGTAACTTTCAACCATTGTGTACACCATCACCTGTTTTGTTTTGGTTTATATTTTCTTTTTTGTGTTTTTGCCATTGTTGCCTTTCGTTGCCTTTCGTTGCCTTTCGTTGCATGTAAGTGTCCACGTTGTTTTACATATTCAATTCCCCTGTGGCACTGGAGTTGTGGCAACAAGTAACTGAATAATGTTTTTTTCTCCCTGTAATTCAGCTGGTTTTATTACAGTAATAACTGAAGGCTTCTCAAAGCTGAACCACATCCAAATCTACAATACTAGTGCTATTTTTTATCTAAGGTTATCCCCTTTTGAAGTTAAAGTGACACTATAGGCACCAAAACAACTTTAGCTTATTGAAGCAGTTTTAGTGTAATGCAGTCTCACTACTCATTTCTCTGCTATTTATGAGTTTAAATAGTTTGTTTATGCTGCCCTTGTCACACATGCATGTGACTTACAGCCTTATTAAACATTTCCTATAAAGTGAGATCTAATGTTTAAAGGGACACTATAGTCACTTGAAGAACTTTAGCTTAATTAAGCAGTTTTGGTGTATAGAACATGCCCCTGCAGCCTCACTGCTCAATCCTCTGCCATTTAGGAGTTAAATCCCTTTGTTTATGAACCCTAGTCACACCTCCCTGCATGTGACTTGCACAGCCTTCCATAAACACTTCCTGTAAAGAGAGCCCTATTTAGGCTTTCTTTATTGCAAGTTCTGTTTTACTAAGATTTTCTTATCCCCTGCTATGTTAATAGCTTCCTAGACCCTGCAAGAGCCTCCTGTATGTGATTAAAGTTCAATTTAGAGATTGAGATACAATTATTTAAGGTAAATTACATCTGTTTGAAAGTGAAACCAGTTTTTTTTTCATGCAGGCTCTGTCAATCATAGCCAGTGGAGGTGTGGCTAGGGCTGCATAAACAGAAACAAAGTGATTTAACTCCTAAATGACAGTGAATTGAGCAGTGAAATTGCAGGGGAATGATCTATACACTAGATATGCTTTATTTAGCTAAAGTAATTTAGGTGACAATAGTGTTCCTTTAAGCTTACTTTATTGCATAGTCTGTCTTATCTTCTGCTCTGTCAATAATCTCCTAGACTTGGACCTAAATCTGGATTTAACTCATACTCAATCTGAGCCTTGTAAGAAACATTCAATTATTGTTAAATAGCATTAACAATGTCTGGATATTGCAGTCTGAATGCAGTCTGTTTTTGGAGTATGAATTATGTTTGCCACTGTCTGGAAAGCTGAGTGTCAAAGGAAGGTTAATGTTTAAATGAGGATAGACAAGAGCCAGAGGATATCCTACAAGGCCTATTGAAACCTCTCATAGTTTGAAAAAGCTATGTATAATACAACAGTCAACATTTAATATTGCGAAGACAACTACAATTAATGGAATTTGGGTGTAGTGTAGGGGCAATAATGTTCATACACCCTCTCTGAGATGAGTTACAGGTTTTATCTGATGGCGCTATATTTTGATGGGATTTAAACATGGTTCAAAATTTAGTAGACCTGAAATCTCCATGTGGCATTTACAAGTACAGGTGTTTGTTGCATCTGTTAGTTAGTTACATGTAGCTAAGATACTGTCCTCAATGTACTGAGCATGTGCATCAACTGTAGTCACATTCCTTTGTCCTTAAAATGAGTCGTATGGTCTGCCCATATTAGGTGATCCTGAATATCCTGTTCACTGATTGGTCTAAGGGTATGTGTGAGTGGAGCTATGAATGGGAGGAGTTATTGTTATTAAATAGCCTGTTCAAACTATGCTCTGGGCTCATACCTTTTGAACACAAGTTCAGTGTGAGACCCGATCGGTACGTGAATAAAGGCCACTTACTTCCTGAAGACTTGTGTCCATATCTCTATGTGTGGCTATGTGCGGTTTGTTCCTGTTATTCCTCCGGTAACATTTTTGGTGCATTGGGTCTGGGAACCCCAGCGCACGGAAGCTAGCGCAGAAATTTGAGACGGTAAACTTTTACCAACGTTCTCCACGGCAGCACCCCAGCAACAAAGAGGTAAGATTAATACCGTTTGAGCGGTAGGCCCACAAGGGGTTTGTATTTGGAATTGGTTTGGTTGTATGGAATCTGCCCCTTCCCCCGGGAAGGAAGAAGCGAAGGTGCACCGCTTATGTTGACATTAGCTCTGTAGTCAGCCCGTCTAATACAGGTGGTTTGGGTCAGACTGAATCTTGGTGTAAATAGTTCATGTCAGACACCGGTGTCCTGTCTTGACTAGCGTGTCTAGATGTAAATTTTGGTCGCTAGGTCGGGGGGACTGGAAGACTAAGCAGATTCTGGTGTACATTCCGTCTGCTAGATCTCAACCTATCTTGGCTAAGTGGGAGGCATGTAAATTCAACCACTAGACTATTGATAGAGTAAATAGACTAAATGAGTACTGTTGTAAATTCCGCTCACTAGTTCGCTATATGTGGTGCTTGGGCAGCGTAGACTAACCAAATCCTGGTGTAAATAGTTCGATAGTTCTCAAGGTGCTGGCCAATTAGAATAGTTGGGATTATTGTAAATATTATTAGATATACTGTAGTTGGTGAACTGGTGAATTGGTTAAATTATATGTCCTGCTAGAAGGCTTGAGCTCTGCCGTCCAGTGGGAGTGTAAATTGTGTGTATAGTGTAAAATAGCACACAGTACCATAACCACTGACAGGTATGTTAATCACTGACATGTACCATAACCACTGACTTGTACCATAACCACTGACTTGTACCATAACTACTGATATTACGTGAAAAATACTAAAATTACTGTTTAACCTTGCATGTGTACTAACTGATATTGTAACTTTAAAACCATAATTGTCTAAACTGTACAATAGTTACTAACCGTACCATAACCACTGACTGTAGAGACGAAATTGTTGAAATGTTATGTGATTGGTTAGTTTATGTTGATTAATAGTGTGGATAATTGTATGGTTTGAATAATAGTTACATTGATAAGTCTTTGTTGGGTTTTTGATTTAATTTCATGTGTGTGAAGTCGTGATATTGTTGAGCATGTGAGGATCCTGTGCGTGTATGTACGTGTATGTTTGGGCCTAGTAACCATGCCGCGTGGTGCTGTTGCTAAGGTAACTGGTGTAACTGTTGAAACTGTTTGTATATTTGTACATCTTTGAATCAGACACTCTGTTGAAATCATGGGTGCTTCTGATTCACAAACGGTCCTTTGTCTTGTATGTTTTCAAAAAAACAAAAAACTTTTCTAAGGGATATGCTGTTTGTGATTATGGTGTAACACTGTCCCCCAAAAGATTAAAATACTCTGTGTAGCAGAGGACGGCCTGTTCTGGTAACCAGTGTTCCTGGGGATCCTTGATCCAGATTTAATACAGCAGGTTTACATTGTTATAAATAATATGCTGGGGCTATACGAGTAGTTTCTGTATACAGATTGTTGAAACACTGCTAAATGGAACAAGCTGTGCTAAGAGGAACAATGGAGTCCATGGTAGCCAGAACCTGTTTGTCCACTAAGGCCTTAATTCCACCTAGTTTGGACACATCTCCCCCTTGCATCTGATTGCCAACCCCCTTATTCATCCTCCAGAGCTAGAGTAGCCATTCCCCCACTCTTCCTCCCAAGCTAAAACTGATATAGCTGGTATTTGCACTCCCCCTGCTCTATTGTCCCTGCCTACCCACATACCTATCTGTTCTTTTGTTTCAAACTCTTGTATTTCTGTACCAACCCCCCACTGGTTATTTGTAATTTGAACTGACTTCCTTTTTGGTAGGAGTGTATTTTAGCATTGAATTTTATTAACAGTTAAATTGTGAGGAGAATTCTTAATAACAGTAACTGAGTCTATTGGATCAGATAATTCTCAGCAATGACATTGTACCATAATCATTGAAATAGCACTAAAACTACTGAACACTGTGTGCATTCAGTGACAGTCTAAAATACAACTGGAAGAAATGATCAATGGTATAAGATTCTAGAGTACACTTTTATCCTTTTTTAGTTACTGGATGGGCCCCTCCCAGCTTTGTTCAAAATATCCCCTTTACTAAAATACAAACTGAGATGTTTAATTTACCATAGAACTAAAGCTTTACTCAAGCCTAGATATCAGGGTGAACAGTGATTAAAATAAGTAATAATAAAATAAGCACATAATTAAAGTCTATCTGCTTCATTAGACTTTAGGAAGCACTCTAGGGCCACCTACTGGCCATCTTCGGGAGTTACATTGATATTACATTGCTTAATCATCTTTAACTCTATAGTGGTATATAACAGACAGGAGTAGGATTGCTTACCCTATTTTAATATATTTATTGCTATAAGGTTTTATTTTATGTATAAATATATTAAAAGTTAAGTTTTATTATTAGACCCATAAAGAGTATTTTGATACAATTACTTACTCTCTGGTGATAACTACTGGTAGGTTTTTGGTTTAACACTTTTTTTATTTTTTTCATCACAAATGCTGACTAGTAAACTTAGCTCACCCCCTTCCACCTATCTTACTACTCTCAGACTGGAACCTATTACTGAGCAGCCTTGCCGAAGCCCCATATTAACCCGACAGATGACTGGTACCCTCCAACCCCGACATTACCAAATGCCTCTCCGACTTACACCGGGCCCAACACACGTTGGCGATAATGGTCAATTGCAACATGCAGACTCTGTATTTGTCTATGTTCCCTTCACTACGACTGACTTATTTAATTGGAAGACACATAACTCTTCATATACCGATAAGCCTCAAGCCATGACAGATTTGGTTGCTTCAATCATACAAACCCACAATCCTACTTGGGCTGATTGCCAGCAATTACTATTGACTTTATTTGACAATGAGGAAAGGATACGGATTAATCAAGCGGCTATTAAAGCGCTTGAGGAAGCGGCCCGTGTTCAGAACCAGGCCAATCTGGCTGCATGGGCTGCAGCCCATTACCCGAATGTGGATCCGAACTGGAATATTAATGGCGCTGATATGCCCCATTTAAGAGCTTATAGGGAAGCCATTATTGCTGGCATGAAGTCAGGAGGGAAAAAGGCAATCAATATTTTAACAGATCACCTGGCATCCTGACTGGGTACCTCCGTTGAAGGAAGCTCCTAGTACTTCCTGAGGACTCCAAGCACTGCCGCAGACACCACAACCACCGAACCGGAGAAGCATACGAATGAGCTCAAGCATATGAATGCTGTAAGCCGCTGAACAGGAAAAGCATACAATCAGCTTACACTCCTGGCAATCAGCATACAATCCAATTCCCCCAATAACGAGGCAACACTTCGTTTTGAGGTCAAGCAGAACTGCCTGTGCTGGCACATACATATTGTTGAATGGGTAAGGCAGTGGCTGAGTGACAGGCAACAGAGGGTTGTAGTTAATGGAATATATTCGAAGCTTGGACTTGTCACCAGTGGGGTACCTCAGGGATCTGTACTTGGACCCATTCTCTTTAATATTTTTATTAGTGATATTGCAGAAGGTCTTGATGGTAAGGTATGTCTTTTTGCTGATGATACTAAGATATGTAACAGGGTTGATGTTCCAGGAGGGATAAGCCAAATGGCAAATGATTTAGGTAAACTAGAAAAATGGTCAGAATTGTGGCAACTGACATTTAATGTGGATAAGTACAAGATAATGCATCTTGGACGTAAAAACCCAAGGGCAGAGTACAGAATATTTGATAGAGTCCTAACCTCAGGGACTTAAGGGTGATTATTTCTGATGATTTAAAGATAGGCAGACAATGTAATAGAGCAGCAGGAAATGCTAGCAGAATGCTTGGTTGTATAGGGAGAGGTATTAGCAGTAGAAAGAGGGAAGTGCTCATGCCATTGTACAGAACACTGGTGAGACCTCACTTGGAGTATTGTACACAGTACTGGAGACCATATCTTCAGTAGGGTATTGATACCTTAGAGAGGGTTCAGAGAAGGGCTACTAAACTGGTTCATGGATTGCTGGATATAACTTACCAGGAAAGGTTAAAGGATCTTAACATGTATAGCTTGGAGGAAAGATGAGAAAGGAGGGATATGATAGAAACATTTAAATATATAAAGGGAATCAACACAGTAAAGGAGGAGACTATATTTAAAATAAGAAAATTACCACAACAAGAGGACATAGTCTTAAATTAGAGGGAAAAAGGTTTAAAAATAATATCAGGAAGTATTACTTTACTGAGAGTGTAGTGGATGCATGGAATAGCCTTCCAGCTGAAGTGGTACAGGTTAACACAGTAAAGGAGTTTAAGCATGCGTGGGATAGGCATAAGGCTATCCTAACTATAAGATAAGACTAGGGACTAATGAAAGTATTTAGAAAATTGGGCAGACTAGATGGGCCGAATGGTTCCTATCTGCCATCACATTCTATGTTTCTATGTTTCTCTTTTATTCCCAATCCACAAACTTAGTACTGCCCACAGGGTTTTACAGAACAACCAATCAATCCGTACAATACACACAGACACTCCCACACAAAATCCTCCCCTCTGCCTGTGATATGATTACTGAACACAATTGTTAATCTAATTATCACATGCAGAGAAATACAGTATCATAAAACACATCACAGGGACCCCAAAACATGCAATAACCCCATAAAAAAACTTCACCACTTGGAGAAGCCTGTTTGCCCGCCTCCTGTCTGATGACTATGGCCCCTGGGAGATTTGGCCCTTTAAATACAGTATTTGGGCATATTGTATTTTATTATGCTGCTGCTGGCCCTTTAAGAACCATCTGGGGACATACTGTGGAGTTACTGGGTGGCCACCATTTCATGTATCAGAGGCACGTGGTGAGAACAATGGATGAAGCACATGGTGAGAACAATGGATGGCGGCCATTTTAACTCACAGACACTGTTTGGACTTTTCTACATGGTGCCATCTCACCAGTATTTGGTGCACGAAGACATCGTTCAGTAGTTTTAAACTATACAACAGGGGACACATTATACAGTAATTATTTTGCATATAGCCTGTATATGTTCTGCGGAATCTGCATTAAACTGCATATTCTAAACTACTGAATGGATCTGGGTGAATTTTGGATATGTGGTTCACCCAGATCCCCCGGTTCAGAGGATATACTTTTTATGGGGTTATTCAACTTCCAATTCAACTTCTAGGACGAGATCTATTATCAAAGCTTCAAGCTCAGATAACTTTTCTACCTAACGGATCAACGTCTCTGAAGTTTAATAAATCACCAGGCATGATAGCAGTATTGGTACCAAAAGAAGAAGAATGGAGCTTCTACTCTGTAATAACAAATGCAAACCCTAAGAGTGATGGATCTTTATTTGACATTCCAGGAGTATGGGCAGAGAATAATCCTCCAGGACTTGCTCATAATATCCCACCGATACATATTGAGTTAAAGCTTGGGGTATCGGTGGACGCAGAAAAAGCTTTCGATAGGGTCGGATGGGGGTATCTAAAGAGAACCTTGTTACAGTTCGGTTTTGAAGGGTGGTTTTTGAATGAGGTGGGAGCTATATATTCGAATCCCTCTGCCCATATAGTAGCCCGTGATTTATGCTCAGACTTGTTCTATATTAATAATGGGACGAGACAGGGGTGTCCTCTCTCACCTTTATTATATGTCTTGTCAATTGATCCACTAGCAAATAATATTAGACAAAATGCTGGTATTAAAGGATTAGGAACTCAACATGATGAATGGAAGATATGTTTATATGTTGACGATATCTTAATTTCTATTACGGATCCACTGGTCTCTCTTCCTCATTTAATGAAAGAATTTAACAACTATAGTAGTGTTTCAAATTATAATCTGAACACGAATAAAACAATAGCTATGTCGATAATTATACATAAAGATAATTTAATTTCCCTAAAGAAAGATTTTGACTTTAAATGGACAAAAAAAGAGTTTATATATTTGAGGGTAATTATAACTGCAGATATAAGATGGACTATGGAAATTAATTATTTTGAAATTGCTAAAAGAGACTAATATGTTATTAAAAGAATGGAGAGTGCATGAAATCTCCTGGTGGGGAAGGATAAATACTATCAAAGCCTATATAATTCCTAAATGGGCATACCTATTCAGTATGCTCCCTCTCTCGATTTCTAGCTATTGGTTGAATATGCTGCAAAATAGCATTACGGCTTATGTTTAGAGGGGGAAGAGACCAAGAATTAGTGCATATACTCTATCAAGGAAGGCCCACCAGGGGGGTTGGGTTACCCCCTAGTTAATCAAATCTACCAGGCTAATATGCTTGTTCATGCCAGTCATTTACAACTAAGTGATTCTATAGATCAAGCTTGGTATAAAATTGAGGCAGCCAGAGTTGGTGTAAATAATCTTGAATTCCTCTTATGGAGAGAGGCAAGTCAGAATAAGCATTTCTGCGAAATTAGTTCTAATTTTTCTTTGTCTCTTTCACAGACATTAAAAGAATGGACTAATATAAAGAAGAAGTTGAATATTAATAGAAAACTATATGAGAACCTCAGTCTAAGATCGCTAGAACGGTTTATGCTAGAGATAAACCTGACAAACTGGTTTAAAGATCCTAATTATAAGATAAAAGATCTTTATAATGATTACCAATTGAAAAGCTTTGAAGATCTGAAAAATTGGTTATATTTACCCTCTAGAGAATTATTTAATTTTCTTCGTATTAAGAGCTATTAACATATTGGTATTAGATGGCCGTTTTGGAAAATTGTTTAGGAACATTTTTTCAGGGTGCAAGGTAAAAAAGATATTCTCTATTGCAGTTGAACTAATAAAAATGAAGAGGACTCCACTTATCCCCAAAGCTTTAACCAAATAGGAAACTGACCTAGCAATCTCCATTCCATTTAATAGTTAGTGTAAAGCCATTATGTGGATTAAAAAAAAATTCACTGCCTGAATATTCTAGAGACTTTTACCAAAATATTGTATAGATGGTACTTGGTACCGACTAGACTTGCTAAAATATCTATTACTAATCCATCTAATTGTTGGTGGTGTCTACACCCAGATGGTTCTATGTTTCATATATGGTGGACCTGCCACCAGAATTAAGAATTAAGTCTCTCTGGACTATTACATTTGAATTTATAAATAGAATTGGAGGTATACATTTGGAACACAAACCGGAAGTTGCCCTACTCCATTTTATGGGCTTAGAAATAAAGGATAATCTTGATATTGTGATTATACATTGTTTAATGGCTACCAAAATATTAATTGCTAGACTTTGGAAAAGTACTGATATTCCTACTAGAGATCAAGTTAAAGCCCAACTCTTATTCCAGGTTGAGATGGAAAAGGGGTTGGTCGACATGAGGGAATATCCCAATTCTGGTATTCTGACGTTTTATTCCAGTCTTGTTGAAAAAATTAAAGGGCTTTAATGAGCTTGAGGAGGTGGGGTTACTCTCTATGATCATCTTATGGCGAATTTGATGATTTTATAGCAGGCACTATTATCGGGCTCCTTGTCCACATATTTGATATTAGCTAATGTAATATTAGATCTGCAATATATCTGACCAGTTTTGTCTTTGTTTCTGTTTGTTTTATTTATAAGATTTTTAAGACCGCTTTTGGACCATGATATCCCCTTTATGGGATTTTAATGTTAGTATATTATCGTGTACTAGACGGCTTATTTCTGATGTAATTTGAAATAGATTAATATACCTCTGTATGTCTATTGGGGATAGGAGTCCTTACTTTTTCTGTAAGGTTCCTTTCCCCAGATCTTGTTATGTCTGTCAATATTTTCATTAAAAAATCTAATAAAAAGAAATTAAACAAAAAATAAATAAAGCTTGGGGTGTATCCTGTTAGCCTTCGTTTGTTGTTCTTTTATCTACCCCTACAGCTGTAAAGGTGGCAGAAGTGACTCTGTGGATTCATCACTCTAGGGTTAAACCAGCGGCAGATTCTTGGCAAGCTACTCCAGATCGTGAGAATCCTTGCAAGATCCGGTTGAAGCGCATGACCCAGTAAAATTGAGCGTGACTTGAGAAGTATGATGTGATTTTTGAAGAATCGTGGTTGAAAGTTGCAGAGATCAACAAGTAGGTGTTTTGACGGCCATAATAAAGCCTGACCACCTGCCTACGTTTCATAGTCAGAGTATCTCGAAGGGACCTCTGTGAAGGTAAGTGAGGATCAGAAGTACTACAATCCTTGCAGCCCTCACAAGCGGGAAGCTGAGGTGCCATCGCATGGTCGAAGAATTAAGATGAGGATCACAAGAATAATGTGTTTAATTATGTGCTTTAGTATTTTTATGATTTTTCAGGAGGGTAAAGGTAAGGATATTCCAAGCTGTGTTAGTTGTATTAAGACTACGAAAACAGGTAACCAAATATCCCAAACTCTCATTTGGCACTCACAGTATGAGTGTAGGGGATCTGTAACTAAGTGTAGATATTTAGGTATAGATTACAGTTTGTGCAAACCAATATCAGGTGAGCCTAAGTGTTTCAATCCCCAATTCCAACCCCGTACAATTTGGTTGGTAATTCGGAACAGTAACTCCCAGGGGACCTTAATAAATAAGACTTTGATAAGCACCATACATTCTATGGGCATTCTACTATTTGATGCATGTAAGGCGATCTCGGGTAGTGGAAAACCTTGGAATGTATGTGGTAATCTTAAATGGGAATGAATTTATGGGTTTAATGATAAATATTTATGTCCCAGTAAAAGATCTACTGATCCTGACTGCCCAAATAGAGACTTTAACTTCTGCCCCTATTGGTCATGTGTAGGTTGGGCGACCTGGGGAAAGACAGTAAATCAAGATATGACTATCCAAAGGTTGCCCACTGCACCCTTATTGTAAAACTATGGAGTGTAACCCTGTGCATTTGACAATTTCCAATCCACAGCACTTCATTGACAAGTTTGGGAATCTCTTTGGGTTTCAAAATACATGGTACAGGAGTAGATCCAGGGACCATAATATATGTAGGACTTGAAACTGAGACGACAGCTTCTCAAACTCATCAGTTTTTTCATTCATTCTATGAGGAAATGAGTGTTGAGGATAAAATTCACCATAATGTTAAGAACTTATGTATTGATTTGGCGGAGAGTATTGCAGGTAGTAATATAACTAACTGCTTTGTATGTGGAGGTACTAATATGGGAGACCAATGGCCATGGGAGACAAGAGAGGTTTGGTACCTTGGTTCTGAGACAGATGAACAACAGATACTTTCTCAGTCTGATCATCAAGTAAGTACTAGATGTAAATCAGAATGGCGTTTAAAAACATCTATCATAGGCCATGTATGTTTAACTAGAAGAGGGCCACTGTATAATACATCTGTTGGAGAGTTAACCTGCTTAGGACAGAAGGCCTATAATGCTGATACAAAAGATACTACTTGGTGGTCATACTACTTGGTGGTCAGCTTCAAATGTCTCACAGCCTACTAATCCTTTTGCCAATGACACCAATTTAAAAGAGGTATGGTTTGACTTATCTGCTACATCCAGTTGGAAAACCCCAGCGAATTTGTACTGGATCTGTGGTAAGAAAACATATTCAGAGTTACCACAAGATTGGGAGGGAGCATGTGTACTAGGTATGCTCAAACCATCCTTCTTCTTGTTGCCAATTGAGACAGGAGAGACCTTGGGAGTTAAGGTTTATGATGTGAATCATAAAAAGAAGCGAGAATCCTTGAATATAGGTAGTTGGGAAGATGAGTGGCCCCAATGTATCATAAATTACTATGGACCTGCTACTTGGGCAGAAGATGGTACTTATGGATATAGAACCCCAATATATATGCTCAACCGTATTATAAGACTACAGGCGGTGGTTGAGATTATCACCAATGAAACAGCGCAAGCACTTAATCTTCTAGCTAAGCAAAATACTCTGATGAGATCAGCCATCTATCGAAATAGATTAGCTCTGGACTACTTATTAGCAGTAGAGGGAGGTGTATGCGGAAAGTTTAATCTTAGCAACATTTGTTTGCACATAGATGATGAAGGGCGGGCAGTGGCTGAACTTACAAGCCACATGGTTAAACTGACGCATGTACCGACTCTAGTCTGGAATGGGTATAATCCTAGTAGTTGGTTTGGAAATTGGTATGAGCAGCTTAGAGGGATTAAGGCGTTAGTAGGAGGAGTAATATTCATTATATTCTTATGTCTCTTTCTGTCCTGCCTAATTCCATTAGTGGTGAGATCTATATGTAGTATCATAGAGAGTACTATAGAAAGAAAGACAGCTGCTCATGTAATTGCTCTCTGGAAGTATGAACCTCTAGCCCAGAGAGAGAACATATTCAGGATGAGGAATGCTGAAGGAGTTTGTGATGATGCTAAGATGCTTACAAGGTCTGCTCTGGTCCAATGGCTACTTGAAAGGTGTTGGTAAACTATGACTGGTGATGCATCTGGAATAATTTTGTATATATATTTTGCACAAGTAATGATCCCAGCTCTGACCAAATCTGCCATCTGCTGAATTAAACCTCCAGAACACTACTGGATGAGGTAGGAACACATGGAAAATTATGGGAGTTTATTTTTTACCAGATTGAAATGAACTTATGTAAAGCTTGTTAAAAATTTGGGTACATCACTGTAGTAGAATTTGCCTTATATTTTCTTGTTTCTGTTCTACAACCATATCTCATAGGCTATAACAGAATCATATTTCATAGTTTATTGTATTAAATATTTGTCCATTTTATATGTTCACTGGGTTTACTGATTTGTGTTTCAAAGCTGTTGTATACAGCAGGCAAAAATGTGGTTCTTTGTTGAGCTCATTTGCATTCGCCTACCCAGAGTACCTTGCAGTAGTAAGAGCACTTTTAAAGAGAGATTTCGGTGGGGAAAGCAAGTCTTATGGCTTGACTGGTGTATGTATTTGTGTTTAGCAATGTATTAACTATCCACTTACATCAGGTGGAATGGATTTTCATCCAAACTTTTTTCCCTACCACAATTCTGTTGGTAAGTACTTTTCAAGTAACGCCAAACTTCCATGGCAAACCAGTAACCAACCTCATGCTGATGAAAAGCAAGTCTTTTGGGTTGACTGGTGTTTGTATTTTAGTTTAGCAATGTATTAACTATCCACTTACTTTGATATCTATATATAAAAAGAGTTGTGGTGGGGAAGAAAGTGTGGATGAAAACCCCTTCCACCTGAAGTAAGTGGATAGTTAATACATTGCTAAACTAAAATACATACATATATATATATATATATATATATATATATATATATATATATATATATATATATATATATATATATATATATATATATATTGTATTTTAATTCTTGGACTAGATATAATCAAGACAGAAGCAGAATAATTCCCTTACACGCCTCAAAAAATATTTGCTTTTATTTTTTTATTTTTTTTTATTTATTTTTTTATTGTTTTTGCTAGTTTGCTTTTATCTGATTTATTCTTTATTCTTATAATTATCTGATAGTGTATAGTGTATCAGGAAAATATTTTGGTATTTAAAAATTTTGCATTCATTAAATGTAAGCCTTAACATGTAAACTAATTTTTCTGCATGGATTAATAATTTGTGTGGTTGGACAAACAATTTAAACTGCCAATAATTCTGCATTTTAATCTCCTGACATCCAGTGCACAACTCATAGTTTAGAAGCTTTTCAGAATTGTTAAATAAATTCCCAATTTTATGCTTCTTCTCTTATCATTTTAAGTAAACACAGACTTATCTCAGAAAATTCCAAATATACTAGTAATGCACAGAACCTTGACCTCTGAAAAACCCGGCCAGCACTTCTTCTGCTAGGTTATCAATTAATCAAAAACAGTCAAGTCAGACACTTTTTTTTGTAAATAAGAGATGATGCCACACAGTGACAGGATGTCTGTGGGGAGCCATGTTATTAAACAAATAGGATCCTCTGGGAAGAGTATATAAAAGATCAATCGATTAATTTATGGCAGGAGTTCCCAAAAGATGCATGCCCATGATGGTTTGTCATTCTAAAGTATTCTAAAGGCATGCAAAGCATCATGGAAGTTGTAGTTCAACAACATCTTGGGATCTACCTTTTGGGCACCCCTGATTTATAGAGAGCAGCATATGAATCAGATAGATAAAGTAAGAATCTACATACAGCGCTACATACAGTTAGAAAAACAAAAACAAAAAAATTCCCAGATAACTCAAATCAGCTAGACTGCTAGAAAGAAGATTTTACTCTCCACAAGACTTCGGGTGATGGACGTGTACTGGCCATGTATCTCCACTACCTCATTTTACCTAGAAACAGGGTGACTTCCTCTGGTTAATAGTGGGGCACAATAGCACCAAAACACTTAAAGGACCACTATAGGCACCCAGACCACTTCAGCTTAATGAAGTGGTCTGGGTGCCAGGTCCATCTAGGACTAACCCTTTCTGCTGTAAACATAGCGGTTTCATAGAAACTGCTATGTTTAAAAAAATGGGTTAATCCAGCCTCTAGTGGCTGTCTCATTGACAGCCGCTAGAGGCGCTTCCGTGCTTCTCACCGTGATTTTCACAGTAAGAAGATGCCAGCGTCCATAGGAAAGCATTGAGAATGCTTTCCTGTGGACTGGCTGAATGTGCGTGCGGCTCATGCCGCGCATGCACATTCAGCCGATGACGGAAAAGGAGGAGGAGAGTCCCCAGCGCCGGAAAAAAGGTAAGGGATTAACCCCTTCCTCCCCCCAGAGCCCGGCAGGAGTGGGACCCTGAGGGTGAGGGGGACCCAAGGACCCTATAGAGCAAGGAAAACGATTATGTTTTCCTGGCACTATAGTGGTCCTTTAATTGAGTGACTGTTTTATATACTGAAGTCTCTCAAACCCATCAGGTATTGGCGTTTTTAAAGCTGCAAAAAATGCAAACCATTATTCAAGTAAGTATTGACTCATGGGTATGAATTTGTATGCAACCAAAAAATGTCTGCTTTTTGTTTAATATACTTCTGTGTCATAATAAAAAACATTTTGCAACTTGAAAAATGTTTAGTAGAAAATTATAAAAAAAGACAGTTAAAATCACATTAGTTAATGAAGTAAGACTACAAAATGTGGAAATGTCCAATAAAGGTATGTACTTATACAAAGCATTCAATATAGAATGACAGTGTGATAAATACACAGGTATAGATTAAAAAATAAATTGAGCAGAATTTGATATTTTCATGTTACCTATTTTCAAATCTTTTTTATTTTAATTTTATCTTCTTTTATTTTTTCCCATTTGTGGCTTAATTCTTCTTGCATATCCCGCCTTCTATATTTCTCTGTATATAACATTTATTACTGCAGAATTTCCATCTGAATGTAACATTGTATTTATTCTGATAAAGCTGTCAGTGTATTACCCCCTGCAAACTAAGCATGCTGATAAATTCTCCTTATCGCTGCTTATTTATCATAGTGATGCAACATGATCACAATAACAGATGATCCATGAGAATTCTTTCCCTTTTAACTATTGGTATGACTGGTTTCTGTTCCTTTTCCACTCCACCTCTTCCATGCTATTGTTTTCGTATCTTTGTCTTCCAAGGCTCCATTAATTGGGGGAAGTTTACATTGCTTTTCCTCTGAACTTTCTGCTCCCAGTGAAATTCCTCAGAGCCTAAATGTGATTTCCTTCCTTCAAATTTTCAAACTCTCAAATGTACCTGTCATCTTAACAACCGACAGGCTGACTTAGAGGTTATGTGGCAGTCTCACTAATTAGAAGACTGTCTAACTCACTGGATGACAAGCTTATTTACTCAAAGGCAGTCAGTCTCTCTACTTTCATGGAAGGGCAATTCCATTGATTGCCGCGCTGTTCTCTGTATGGAGTGCACCCTGCAGGAAAAGATACCTTTTTATGTACATCCATTTGTAGAGGTACATGTAGAATATAGTTTATAATATGGCTCTGTAAAATACATTTTCCTGAAATAGCACATTAGGTGATAGTTTCAAAGTGGTAGCTAAAAAAACTACTTTCCATGCCAAAATGCAAACCATTGTCCTTAAAGGAGTCACTATAGTCACCAGAACAACTTGTGTTTAATATAGTTGTTCTGGTGTCTATAGCATGTGTCTTCATGCTTTTTAATATAAACACTGCCTTTTCAGAGAAAAGGCAGTGTTTACATTACAGCCTAAGAATACCTCTTGTGACAGTCAGAGGCTGGGAGAGAGGAGAAAGCAATTTTCCTCTTGGAGGCGCTCTGTGCCAGTGTGCAGTGCGCACTGACGATAGACATAAAATATGTACAGAATTTCCATAAGGCAGCTTGGGACAGTGCTCTGTGATGCCTTAGTCACGTCCTCTGGAGATGCAACTAGCCCCATGCATGCAATTAAATATAACTCTAAAAGTGCAGTGTTTCAACTCGTACCACCATGACAAGTTCAAACCATTGAAGTGGTCATGGTGGCTGGAGTAACCATTTAAATTTGAAATTCAGTTTGAATTCCCAACAGTACATTAATACACAATTCTGACATTGTTCTAAGTTGGTTAATTCACTTATAGGTGATATCATTTGCTGGATTGAAGATTACGGTACACTCACTTGTAATGCGGAGCTGACATCTGCAAAAATTGCGAATGGCAATAAGGTCTCAAAATGCATAGGGTATCTTCTGCTACTCTACAGCCACCCTGAATTGCTAAGTGCTTGAGGAAGGTTAATCCAACACTCTCTACTTTCTGTCCAGGGGAAAACTATCCAGCAAGTAGGTGTTGGCCTCTTTGTATCAGAGATAGAATTTAATCATGATGGACTGATTAGGGAGCTCCTCTGATATTCCTACCTGGACCTTGACTGTGATCATTGGAGCCCACAAGTAATATTCCAAAAAAAGTCAAAAGAGGTTATAGAGTTCATTTATGTAGTGTATACTAACTGTGCAGCTGCTAAAAGAATTGAAATTAACCAATAAATTCCAGCAGCAGATGTACTCTACAAGACCATAATCTTCTGGAACGGAGAATGCATGTTACTTTTGTGGGAAACCTGCTTCTAAGCCATTGCAGGCTCTGGACTAGGACTGGAATAGAACTAGGTGGAAATGTTCCTGCAATACAAAATCTCTCTTTTTTATGAGTCAGAAATCAGTGGCTGCATCCTGTGCTCTTTGATGTCTGTGCAGCTAGAGTTGAGGTCACCAGTTTATAGCCAAGGTGCTGTCATGGGTGAAACTGTTGATTGTTTTCACACTCTTGAAAGTCTGGTAATAGAGCTTACCTTGGCAAGGAGTTATGTTATAAGGAATACAGTGTTGCTCAACCATTTTTTTTTTTTTCAACCACTCATCACCAGCAACAAATACACATTTTTTTTAAAATAGTAATTGCGTCCTGCCAAATACAATATACTTCTAAAAATAAGCCTACCCCATGGTGCATACTTGCCACATGTTAAGAAAATCAGTTTTCTACTAACTCAGCAAGGAGCAGACTGCTGTATGTTTGACAGTTGGTCTTGTTCACTTAATCAAATGGTAGAAATACTTACTGAAAAATTACTTTGGAAACAGTGCCACATTATCTGGAGAGGAAAGTAGAGCAATGTTGTTTGAGCCAGCTGTTAGAGAAGAACTGTAACTGACTGTAGCTTCTAATACCTGAATGTGTAAGGCGTTTAGGTAACATGCAGGACTATGTTAATGCTAGTCTGCTATCAACAGCTGGAATTACCACTCTGGAAAGTTCATTATAAATAGTTAAAAAGCACAGATTGCTAAAATAGGCTATATATGGAATGAAGCCCAGTGTTTAGAGAAGGAAGAAGACTAGACAGATGGTTGTTAGTCTGCACTACTGGCTTGAGGTGACTCCAGAACTGAAGCTGCAAACAGAAAAAAAGAAATTGGACATTCAAGACTGAAGGTTTGAAAGTTCTCTTAAGAAGAGGCAACAGAGAAAACATATACCTATAACATCAACAATTTACTCCTAAAACACAGGATCCTCATGTAAAGAGATAGTGGGCTATAATTGTATTGGGGCTCATGGCCTTGACATTGGTTGCTCTGGGACCAGGGAGCTGGGGTTAATCAAATTTTCATGCACCAGTTAGACATGTGCAATTCATTTTGTTGCGAATGTAAATTCAGACGAATTTCAGGCAATTCGGACATTCGGATGCTTCCGAATTTCTGAAGTGCCGAAGTGCTGTGGATTTCTGAAAAGTGGCAAAACAAGAGAAAATTACTTGAATGATGACAGAAATCTTGACCGATAAGCTAATTCGTGGCACTGGGAGCCCTATAGATGTGTTAGTGGTTGTGGTGGCAATCCTGGCATTGGGAGCCCTACAGATGTGTAAGTGGTTGTAGAGGCAGTCTGGGCACTGGGAGCCCTGTAGGTGTGTAAGTAGTTGTGTAGGTTAGGGTTAGGAATAGGGTTAGGCTTAGGGCCCTACAGATGTTCCGAATTGCCAAAGTCCTGAATTGGTGAAGTTCCGAGTTGGCGAAGTGCCGAATTGCTGAAGTTCCAAATTTCGGATGTGTCAAACCAAATCAAATTTTTTGCACATCCCTATGCATCACTACTACATAATGTCTTGACATGAGACAATGCCTGTAGCGGCACAGAAAACAAGAGTGAGGTCAAAAATCACCAAGTCAGGAAGTAGGAACTTTCAGTGTGTTAGAACCACGGCATTAAAAGTCAAGAGATGATTATATGCAACAAACACACTAGAGTATGGACACAAAGACCCACATTTTTCCGTATACACTGTAAGTGTTAGCAATGACTTATTCTTACATCCTGTGGGGTTTGTGTTGTTTTAGTTTGCCTTCTGAAGAAATAGCAAAAACAGCAAATCAATGTCAGGAACATTAACCTCCTTAATGTCCACCCAGGGCAGGTTGAAAATATGTTATGACCAATGGCAAGTTAGGTAAGAAGAATATTAAACCCCATATATTCTAGACTTGTGCATGGCCAAAATATTTCTTTCAACTGAACCACTTTGTGTATATATGTATATACACACAATCACACAAAAATTAAATTCAGCGCAGAAGTAAAATGATAATAGTCCACAAGCAGCTTGAACACCAATACCAATTCCCATCAGAAAACTGGATAAAAACAGGGGGGTAGGTGCAATGCTTCAGTAATCCTTTACAAGGTATGTGTGGAGAGAACCAGAGAAGAAATAATAGTGTAGTATTTTAAAACTGTAGTCTTAATAGGTTAGATAAAAGATGTACACTTTTCTCGTGGTGGACCCTTTATTGTGAACCGGGACAGACACAAAGAGCAGAAGAATCTTATAGTTTCATTATTCTGGATAAACTTCAGAAAAAGACTTTCCTCTCGAAGAGTTATTTTAGTAGCGAGTTGTTTTGCACTATCGAATTGATGGTATGATTTCTAGGGCTTGTATATTTAGCAGAATTTCAGTATTGGATAGAGTTGCAGAATCATTTGCTTTCTTTCTTTTTAAATTGAAATCAAGAAACCAGCAAACCATTACAGAATTACTAAAAGGTGAGAAATGGAGGCAGAACAGTGGTCATGTGTCTGATCATAAGGCTTCCAGAGGGCTGGTATTCAGTTATAGTTGAACTTGATTATCCAAAATTTTCCAGAGCCTGAACATGTCTTATATCAAGGTGTAAAAAATGCGGGGGCAAATGAAGCAAACACGAGTCCAAAGGACCATCAGTTAACCAGGTGTGAACTCAGCTTTTCATAATTCAATTTCACCATAAATGCAATGTGTTAAGGAAAACGTAATTGGGATCCCTAGGATAAGTCAACAATTAAACAAATAAATAAAGTTAAATGACATGCAGAGCAGAAGAACAGAGGTAACAAAATGTGAACAAAGGGGGTTTGGCATTCTATGGTCCTATAGGTATATTGGTGTTGGGCCTTTCCCTTTGGAAATACAAATCAGAATGTTTGTAAGATGAGCCAGCAATAGAGTTAATTGTTGAGGTTACATTAGATGATTCTGGTATTGGGCAAGTTTAGTTAGCTTTTTTCACTGTGATTGGTGCCTTTTTTTTATTTTTACAGCTGATTACGTATTTGGTTTTCTACTTGTTTTAACCCATTTCTACTTGTTTTAACCCATTAACAATGAATGGCCTGCTGGGGCTACATAATCCCCGGCCCTTAAAGAGTTAATTTAGCTTTGCACTGAAAATAAAATAGCAGAAAAGCAGGTAATTCATTGTAACAGCTATTTTATCGCACATTGCTCCAACAACATGGAGCCCTTAGTCAGCTGCTCATTTATTCTGTTTTATTATTCTATCCTCTATTGATCTAGGCATCATGTGCCACCACAGTGCTAAGAATAGCATTAACCTTGTAGCAGAAGCACTTACAGTAAACATGCAAGAGGCAGAGATAAAGCCAAGATGTGGATGCACTGGTAGAAGCCTGTTAGACAGGCTTTGATGCCCACAATTAGAAGGGAATATCTAGCATTTCTCAGATGTTCTACTGACAGGGCTTTTCACTAAACTATAAATATGTAGAGAATTCGAAGGAAATTGCAAATTTTAGGCTAACAACTGAAAAAAAAATACAAGAGATATTTTGGCGTAAATGTTGCAGTTCTTTTGAAGTTCTAACATTCACAATATAGTATGGTGAATCATGTTATCTTTATTTCAACAATTGAAATAGAATATTTAATTCTCATTTATAGCGGCTTGTTTTCTATCTCCATTAATGCCCACAGCATCCTAGATAAACAATAGAAAGGAACTCATCCAATTGAGCAAAAACTGGGAGCAAAAATCCGAAAACCGTGGCCAGCACAATCCCAATACATAAGTAAATCCAAAAAGAAAAAGGTTCAGGCACTCCATTTTGCCACCTCTGTCCACCTCTGTACACATTAACTCAGGGGTGGCTCTCTAATTAGGCGATTAAGGTTAGGACATGGTCTACCCTGTTTGCCTGCTGAGTTTGGATCTTTCCACTCAATCTGCACTGAAGAGCGAGAACCCAGTCCAGCCTCTGGTCTGTAGCTCCACCAGATGCAGAGCTGCAGACTGTGAAGTAGTTGTCAGCGAGCTCTGGGCAATCAGATTGTTGTAGTGTGTTACCATGGCAAAACTGACAGTTCCAGAACTGGTGATACAACAACCACACAGCCTCCAACTCTGCACCCGGTGGAGTTGCAGACTGGATAGCTAGGCCGCCTGACGATCAGGGAGGGAGACCACTCTATCATCAGGGTATAGATTACTGCAGATGAAAAGGTATACTGTGGGGAGCCTGGTCACACTGTCACTCCCCCACCCACTGCCTTGCCATCACCCACTGTCACCCTCCACACACTTTCACATCCATATTCTTATATCCCCCATGCATTGTTACCCCCCTCTCATACACTGTCAACTTCCACACACTGTCACCCCTCCCCCCCATACTATCACCCACTTTACCCTGTCACACTCACATTAACTCCTCTTAACCCCTTCTATTAGCACGTTGTAGCTTTTGTTTAAGGGGCACGTTGACTATAATATTTATAAATGGGCACACTGACTGTAATATGTACTAATGGGTAAACTCACTGTGGTATTTTTTAATAGGTACCTGGCTTGGCATATGTTTAATGGGCAAACTGACTGTGATATTTGCTAATTGGAAAACATACTATGGTATTTATTAATGGGCAAACTTACTATGGCATTTATTAATTGGCAATCTTACTGTGGTATTTATTAATGGACAAACTTACTGTGGTATTTATGAATGGACAAAGTTAATGTGGTATTTTTAATGGGCATGTGGCTTGGCATATGTTGGCAAACTCTGGTATAATTTTAATGGGAAAATTCACTGTGGCATATTCTGTGGGGCAAAGTGACACTGTGTATGCACTTTATTGATTGCTTGAGATGTGCTGTGGCATTCTGGGAAGGGCTTTGGTGTGCATTGTGTTAGAAAAGGTTGAGGAGCACTGTTATAGAGTAAGTGAGGAGAGACCTCAGGTTTAAAGTTAAAACATTTTATAATAGCTTGAAGTTTCACAAAGGGGAAAGGGGGCATTAGCAGAAGCTAGATTTTTCATTACCACACCAAAGTAATATTAAAGTATGTTTTTTGGGGGGTATATATACTAAATGATTGACTTTTGTCTATACATTGTCCTTTTATGATCCTTGGACTTGGATGACAAAAGGAATATTATTGGTCCTTGGGGTTAAATGTGGTATGTATGTATATTGAATTTAAAAACAAATATTTACAATTACCAACACCTTGATTCTTTGATTCTATGGATCTATTTTTGCAAACAACCTTTTACTGAAATGGTTAAAATATGTTCCACACCATGTTATTTTGAGTCATTAAATCTACATGTTATATTATTTTTGCTGGTTGTGTCTTGTTTTCTGTGTTACTGCTGTAAATCATGCTCATGTTTTGACTGTCTGTTCTAATAAAGATATCAAATAAAACTTTACACCGTAAATATAATATCGTTCCATATAGATACTTAAAAGAGGCTGTCTTCTGAATTCCAAGCTTTCAATTTATGTGTACAACTGACTAAACTGAGTCTGTCACACCCTTAAAGAAACAAATCAGTAATAATTTTATACGTGTTCATAATGAGCTTACTACATGCCCCAGTAGGCCCGATTCCTTCACTTTTACATCTTAAAAGTAATTCAAACATTCAGAACGTTCAGGCTTTCTGCCACGAAAGGGTTAGGTTTAAAAGCCAAGTGCCAAGTGCCAAGCCCTTTGCACACCAACATTTTCCTCTTCCTTTCTCATCTTTCCATCAGACTTTAGAAGTTTAATAGCAGTTGCGATCTTGAGGCTGAGCTAAATCTGGTATAATCAGCAGTTTGTGTTAAATCTTGGGCTCCGTTCAGAAAATCCTCCCTTCATTTCCAAATAAAAATATGGGGCAAATAAAGAGCAGGATAGAGAAGGTGAAAAGGAAGGAGCGGAATAGAGAGGGGGGGAGGGGAGGGCTACAGAAAAAAACAAAACAAAAATTTTTTAGGATTTAAATTCTTTAGAAAGGGAGAGTCAATTATACTAAGGATGTGTAAACAAAGAGCCACACAATAGAGATTAAATAAATCATGTTTGGAAGGAAGTGGGCAGGGAGTGGAGGAAAATAACAAGGGAATATGAATATATAAAGTCTGGACGGACTGGAATAATGTAGAAATTAATCTGACAATTTAAAGGGCAAAGAGTGATGCAGAAATAAGTAACAGAAACAAAGGCTTCTATTCATCAGCTGTTTTTGCATGCTTTATAATGGAAAATGTGCCAACTTGTGTCACCACGCTTATACAAGTCTGCATGTTTAATATTTAAGAAAAATAGATGTATTTTTTCCCATTTCACCTGGGGTATTCCAAATTGACCAACATAGCATTGGTTAGCTTAGCTCACTAAAGCAATATATCACATAACAATATAGAACTCATTTTACTATGAACACTACTTTGTCTGCTTCTGCCTCTAGTTAGACTAACTACAAGAATCATGAAGAAAGTTAGACTAGGCACATACAGATGGTGTTAAAGCAGATTTTATAGGAAAACCATGCAATGTTTCGGACCCCACAAGAGACAGTTTCAGATTCTTGTGGGAGCCAACATTTTGCATGGTTTTCCAATAAATTCTGCCTTAACACCACCTGTATGTGCTGGGCCAACTTTAATTGTTTACCCTGGACTGGAGGCACTACATATGGAAAGTGTTACTCCACTTTATAAATATAGAATAACTACAAGATACAGGTGTTCTAAAATATTTAAGGTATAGAACAGGTTGAGGTTATCACAAAGGAATATGCAATATTGTATGCATTGCTTCCATACTGATTGGTGGTTCAGTGGTGACAATGCTCAGTATTTTTGATGAAGCCCATTTGGTGTTTTAGAGTAATGATGACTTATTGTGGAATCACAGATATTTGCAAACTACATTTCCCATGGTGCTTAGCCAAGTGTGCAATTGATACTGAGAGAATCCATCTGTTAATGTTTCTCATGTGAAAATTTGCAACCACTTCATCTGGTTATTTGTACGGTAAACATGATGAATTGTAGAGGTTTTATTTTGCAAATAGGACAAAATAAACACAACAGACTGAATATTTGAACTCACACCTTTCACCATTTTTTCTTCAAATTCTGAGTTTTACACCCCAAAAAGAGAGGTTGGAGGTATTGTTTTGGGCTGGTGAGGGCTTCTTATAGGGAACAGGATGGCACAATTTTGTAAAATTCACAAAGCCTTGATTACAGAGGACGCTTTGCCTTGTTTAAGTAAACAAATACGGCTTGCTGGAACGCACATTTTAAATTAATAATAAACAGTAAAACAAATGTAGCAGTTATTTTTACCTGTTCTGATAAGAGTGTGGTTAGAACATAGAACTGTGCTCCCATGCACTGGGAAAATAGGGTGGGAAAACAAGGTCAACTCTGGGTGACAACAGCATTCCAACTACTGTAAAACTACAACTCCCATAAAGGTAAACCAGCCAGTTAAATGAGAACGTTTATTCCACAGCCAGAGGACAAATCATTTCAGAAACAGTTTTCTTGTCCAGGCAGTTAATGTACAGTACAATTTTACAGAGGGCATATTTTCTAACTAAGATATTATGCACTTTGTAAGTATTTTCGTGCAATAATCTCTTGCCCCCTCTGCTGCTGCCATGGGTTCAGTGTTTAAACCCAGTCTGGCAAGAGAGAGTCACTTATACACATGCTTGCACTTGCCTCATAAATCCAGGCATTTGTTGACATTTTTACTCGCTGTTGGCTTAGAATGAATAGCAAGCATCCCGGGCATAAGGGCTTGGACGTCCATATAAAAGTACTAAGCTTACATCTGTAACTCGAAAACTCCAAACATAAACTGAGGATGAAGGGAAATTAATCAAATTTTTTTCAAGAATTCTTTTATCCTTTAAAGGGACACTCCAGGCATCCAGACCATTTCTGCCCATTGGAGTGGTCTGGATGCCAACTCCCACCACCCTTTACCCTGCAAGTGTAATTATTGCAGTTTTTATAAATGGCAACAATTACCCTGCAGGGTTAAGCCCTCCTCTAGTGGCTGTCTATCAGACAGCCACTAGATGGACTTCCGTGTTCTTAGAACACGAAAAGTGTTTTAAATGACGCTGGATGTATTCACGCTATGCATGAGGAGCTCCAGCATCACCGGAATCCCCACAGGGAAGCATTGAATAATTATTTCCTAAAGGGAGGTTTAATGCGTGCATGCGACCATTGCCACGGATGCGCATTAGGTCTCCCCCGCCGGCTGTGGGCAGAGCCTGACCCAGCGCCAAGAGACAGCAGCGCTTGATTCAGGTAAGTCACTGAAGGGGTTTTAACCCCTTCAGCAACATGGGATGGGGGGTGGGAGGTAGAAGGGCACTGCAGAATCCTGCAGTGCCAGGAAAACGGATATGTTTTCCTTGCACTGGAGAGTCCATTTAAAATTACATTTTAGTGATAACTGTTGATTTAGTGAACGCATCTCATTCTGAAGGCCAAAACCTTCCAGGCACTGAGAATGTTGGAAATTCTCTTGTTCAAACAAAATTCTTGTACACATTGGAGAAAAAAAGATTCATTCAAAAAGTTAAAAAGTCCAGAGACAATTATATGAAGACAATGTATGTGACCAAGCTTATGAAATTGTGAGAAATTCAAGGATGGTATGTGCAAATGTATTCTAAACATAATATATTGTATTTAATATTATAAACGACAAATTTTGAAAATTAGTTTGTCAGAGTTTGTACATCATTGGCTAAAATGTTATAGGAATTGCCATGCAGAGGTGTGTAGGAGTAAACTTCAGACACAGATAGTGGCACGTAGGGCAGTGCAGAGCAGACAGTCTTTGGGGGAGAGTCCACTTGTAAATATCCATGAGCTATCTCAGAATTTCTGTTATCATTGAAAAAAATGAAATTCTTCTTGTATTCCATGCTAACTCATGCTAAAGTTAAACGATGTGTCTCCCCAGGCCATGTATCTGTATTGGACTTTTAGGAACCTTCTTGTTTTCTAATGTGGTTTACTCCACCACATTTTCAGTTGAAGTATTATTTCAATCTGTTATTTTTGGAAACTTGGTAATGAGAGATCTGCCCTCCAAAAGGTTGATGACTGTAAATGACTCTAACTACTGTACTCATTTCTCTTGCCGTCAGGGGCATGACCAGATCAACTCATTTACCTGGATCTATCTTTTACAGCAGTTTTTGAAACATTTCTTTTTCTGCAGATGTCACAGAGACAACAACCAAACATTGGCAGCCATGGCAGAATGCATGGTGGCTGCATTGGTTTTAAGAGAGTGATGGCATTCTCCAACCAGGCTATTTGCAACATGCAGATACCATGATTTAAAGAACATTTCAAGCACCATAACAACTGCAAATCACCCTGGTGCGCTCCCTGTATTGCAAGTAGTCATACAGTTTAAGAATATGATTAGCTAATGATACACTTGCACTGTAGGGCATAGCTCAGCAGCCCTAACAGAAACCACTGCTTAGAAGCGTCCGGCTCTCTGTTGTCACTATTTGAGACAGAGGGGGGCACCTAATGAACTCCAGGTAAGAATGCGAGAAGTGGTGCTAGGCAGACCCCAGCTAAAAAGTCAAACTTTTGTAAAATGGTTTGACACCTTTGAATGGGGGCAGTGCCAAGGCACACATGGCACCACAGTCAATATAGTGAGCTGAGGTTATGGAGCTTGGAATATTCCTTTCATGTAAAGATAAAGAAATGGCAGAGAGGAAAGAACAACTCCTATGATTCCCAGTTATCATTTGACTGGATATTGGGCGGAAGAGCGTCGAGTTATATTTTAACAACAGGTGGATAGTTACCTGCTGGCTACAGAACTCTCACACAAGGTCATACATTGCTTCCATAGACATAGATCGGACATGGAAAGACTTCTCTGTGGAAGTAAAACTTTCCTAAAGTTTCTAAAACACTTCCCATCATAGCAAAGCCCACATAATGCCAGTGTAAATTGTAAGCGTCCTGTCGAGAGTCTGTTAATATGTATGTAATGATCAACTTAACAATCACTGAAACAAGACAATAATTCAGCAACTTTTTCACAGGCATATATTATAGCTATTAAATTAATCACAATAATCAGCACCTTAGAAACTCAGACAGGAAATATGTATACCATATGTCAATTTTGTATAGCAGAGTGATAACTTTTAAACTTTAATTGGAGATACACAGATACAGTAAGCTACAGAGCTGCATTAAAATAATTCATGTCCTACATCATGCATTTGTTTTGTAAGCTATTAAAAAGTTGGATACAGGTCATCCTAATATATATCGTCTGACAGATCAAATAGACTTCATTAGCTGGAATAGTTAATGCAGTATAAAAAATGTAAGGGTTGGTTTAAATTACCTGCTCTTCTATAATTGTCTCTTTTCTATTATTTTGTTTGATTTAATGGGTGAGATTTCCAAAGGCAGAGCAATTATCCTCTTGGGTCCTGGATTCAAGCAGCTGAAAGTATAAGGGTCTGTGAAGTGTGTGAGAAGTGGATAGAAAAAAGAGGGCTGGCACTGCTAGGAGAGGGAGGGGGTGAGGTGAAAGGGGAGGGGGGGAAGTGAGAATTTAAAAGTATGGTGAAACAGATGGAATGGTGAAACCGAGAAATTAAAAGTCAATAAAAGGGAAAAGAAAGTGAGAGAATGTAAAGCTTAATATAAGATAAACACAACGGTAGAATTAAACAATTGCATGATAGAAAGAATAAACAGAATGTGGAGAAAAAAAAGGGTTTTAAAAGGGAAATGCTACTTCAAAAGATTTTTACATAAAATAGAACATTAGGACATCAGGTTGTCTACACACGTACGCATGCACACACGCGCACACACACACATATACACACACACTTAAATGTTTTAGTTTAGTTAGATTGCCTTTTTTTATTTTTGCTATGCAGTTCCAGTCAAGTCATATGAAACATGATTAGAAAATCAGCTAGAATAACCAGAAATGTACCTTTAAAGTATAAAATATGAAGAAGATCATATGGAGTAAACTGTAAAATAGATAGAGAAGAGACGGACATTTTGGAAACATGGCATTCTCAGTGCTCAGTTTACAGATGTGGAAACATGATATTCTCAGTGCTCAGTTTACAGATGTGGAAACATGATATTCTCAGTGCTCAGTTTACAGATGTTAAGATATTACATTCTCAGTGCTTAGTTTACAGATGTGGAAACAGCATTGTCAGTGCTTAGTTTACAGATGTGGAAACATGGCTTTCTCAGTGCTCAGTTTAAAGATGTTTGAACATGGTATTCTCAGTGCTCAGTTTACAGATGTTTAAACGTGGCATTCTTAGTGCTCAGTTTACAGATGTGGAATCATGATATTCTCAGTGCTTAGTTTACAGATGTGGAATCATGACATTCTCAGTGCTTAGTTTACAGATGTGGAAACATGATATTCTCAGTGCTTAGTTTACAGATGTGGAATCATGACATTCTCAGTGCTTAGTTTACAGATGTTGAACCATTACATTCTCAGTGCTCAGTTGACAGATGTGGAAACATGACATTCTTAGTGCTCAGTTTACAAATGTGGATACATGACATTCTCGGTGCTTACTTTACAGATGTTAAAACATTACATTCTCAGTGCTTAGTTTACAGATGTTAAAACATTACATTCTCAGTGCTTAGTTTACAGATGTTAAAACATTACATTCTCAGTGCTTAGTTTACAGATGTTAAAACATGACATTCTCAGTGCTCAGTTTACAGATGTGGAATCATGATATTCTCAGTGCTTAGTTTACAGATGTGGAATCATGACATTCTCAGTGCTTAGTTTACAGATGTGGAAACATGATATTCTCAGTGCTTAGTTTACAGATGTGGAATCATGACATTCTCAGTGCTTAGTTTACAGATGTTGAACCATTACATTCTCAGTGCTCAGTTGACAGATGTGGAAACATGACATTCTTAGTGCTCAGTTTACAAATGTGGATACATGACATTCTCGGTGCTTACTTTACAGATGTTAAAACATTACATTCTCAGTGCTTAGTTTACAGATGTTAAAACATTACATTCTCAGTGCTTAGTTTACAGATGTTAAAACATTACATTCTCAGTGCTTAGTTTACAGATGTGGAAACATTACATTCTCAATTCTCAGTTTACAGATGTGGAAACATTACATTCTCAATTCTCAGTTTACAGATGTGGAAACATTCTCATTGCTCAACTTAGGTAAGCTACCGTAATGGCCAAAAAAACATACAGAACAGAAAAGTGTAGAGTTTCTATGTGAAAGTGCAACTGCAGTCAGTGAGCAAGCTTTAATGGATATATTCTCTGATAAATTGCTGAGCGAACATATTCCATGGGTGTCCAGCCTCTGAGTTCCCATTTTCAGCCGCTCTGCATGGCTAATCTGAGTTTGACTTGAAGATGACAAAGCACAAGAGAAAGAGTAACGTTTAGCCAGTGTCAGCGTGTCCCTCTGGGTTATTCAACACTACATAGTTTATGTATTTATAAAGTATTTAACCAGGAAGATGGATACATTGAGCTTTCTCTCATTTTCAAATATGTAGCAGATTCTGTCTTGTGGAGGTGGTAGAGGTGTAAGGAGGCAGTTATGCACCCTGACCACATTCTTCGAAATTGTGCTTCACAGCCAGTGTGGCCTCAAGTGAGTAAAGATTTAGTTTAATAATTTTCACTTTTAGAAAAATTGGTATTCAGTGAACAGATAGGTTGTACAGGAAGTCAGCAAACAACCTGCCCAGGGATGAATTGTGGAGAATTGTGTCTAAAGCAATGAGATAAGAGAGTGGCTGCCTCCCCTGCCTGATATATCGGATAGATCGTTGGCAATCTGTCAACCTGACAATGTCGCCCTAGCCAAATGGTCAGGAATAGACTCCAAATAATTCTTGGGGTGTCTGCTAGCTGTTCCAACAACAGTGTTGCTGAAATAGGGGATAACGTTTTATTTTGCATTCAAATTTGTGGCCTAACTGGGGAAGCCTTAGAATGATGCATGTGTTCAGTATTGCAGCGAAGTCTTGCCCTCTGAGATGAAGTTGTAAGTTTTTAAATCTGAATTGTACAGCACACAGGGAGCTGACTATAATATACCTGTTTCTGGTCACAACTTTGGCTTTCTATCTGTGTTTATATATATATATTATTATTTTTCTGCTTGTTTCACTTCAGTCTGTAATTATTTGCTCTCTCTAGTATAATGGCTACATTTGTACCAATGCAAGGTAAGCAAAGCATGTACTATAACTTTAAACTGCACTACAAATCTCTACATTGACTACGTTATACAAGAGACATTTTTGGTATCTAAAATGTATTTTAGGTATTAATAACCATTTAAGAACATATAGTAATAGGGTGAATAAAATGAAAGATGGAATTGTATGTCCACTTTTAAGGACATAATGTTAACACAGAAAACATTGGCGTTTCGATGGAAAATGGTACTGTATATGGCTTTACCCAAAAATATAGTGCTACTTTACATGTATGCAAAACAAGGCACAGAATTAAGGGACATAATGACATTGATAAAAACTGATGGCATTTAGAGGGACACTGCCACCAGCTCAATGTATTTGTTTTATTGATTCAGCAAGTTTAATTTGCAACAAAGTTTTGCCTTCTCACACTTTTTAACTTTGTTAATGAAACGTAACATTTTTAAGAGACTCTTGACTTTAACATTATTGTTGGTTACGTTTGTAAACGATAGAATGGAAAGCTAATAGCAACCCTTCTTTGTTTCATTTTCCATTATAAAAAGTTAACAACTGGTTCATAAAAATAAGCAACTATTTAAAATCTGTAAGCTGTCTACTCGGTTAGCACATACAATAAAGTGAATAGATTTCAGTTATACGTTTTTACAAAATGATAAATTATAAAAGGGTAAAACTTATAGGGAGTTCTAAGAATATGATTTAAGAACATTGAGTCACTGAAAATGAATAGGGTTTAGAATTTCTTTTACCACACGATGAGCTGGGCCAGCTTAATATAGGGGCTATCGGATGTCAAGCTCTAGAACAGGGATGAGCAACCTTCAGCACTCCAGATTTTGTGGACTACATCTCCCATGAAGCTTTCACAGTCATGTTGCTAACAAAGCATCAGGGGAGATGCAGTTCCCTACATCTTGAGGGCCAAAGGTTTCCTATCCCGTCTCTAGGCCAATGCTTTAAAAGACACAACCCATCTGAGCAACATGAGAAACTCCATGAATAACACATAAAGTAGCAACTACCTAGGTTTGACAATGTATATATAAATCTGTATCTCTACTCTAAACCCATTGATCACAGTCCCTCTGTGTCCTGTAACTGATAGAATGGAATCCATGTGACCACCCACAGGCAATTAAATCTTGTAGCCATTGCTCACCCAGCAGATTTCTCCATGCCTACTAGTGATGATGGCCTTGCTTGGGATGCTTGAAATTTCAAATTCATAAATGCCAGGTCTCGTCTATTCTCCAATGCGCCTCTGAATTCCAGGTCATATGTTCATAATTTGTGTACTCTATGCTTCTCTTCCTCCCTGATCTCTCCTCCAAAAATCACTCTGATAAGTGGCTCTGGGACCGAGAACGCTCTCCACAAAGTTTTACCGGACTGCAGCAACTCTGTGATACGGTCAAGAGTTCCATAGAGCTTGTGGGTTCCTCCCAGTCAGGAGCGCTGTGCCCCTGTATTCACCTGGCTAGCTTGTGGTGACTCTCATGCCCTGGAAAAGGGGCATTGCGCTGGGAGGCTTGGACTGAAGGGGTAACTGTGGTGATTATAGTCTTTTCAAGGAGGAGATAGATGGAAGTCCTGTGCCGTTGTTAGAATAACAATGTGAGGAATATAATAGTTCAGCAGAAAAAGTAGTCTCTTGGACCAGGCCCATAGTCTTTGGGAAGGAAGCTAGCCTTCACGTCTCTCCAAGAGTATGTGGCATGGGAGTTTCCATCACACTAATATTTCAAACCCTATGTAAAATATTGCAAGATTAGGGATACTGTATTCTGTGCATAACGTTTTATTTCCACAATATTTCTCTCAAGTATGATTGATCAAATTAGAAATAAGGATGGTGTAAATTTGGATCATTTTATTTTTATGTTTGTCTGAAGAGCAATCTATACACACATTTTTTTCATACATTTATGTGCTCACCATGCCCTTCGTGCTTGACTGTAAAAGCAACGTAATGGTTCCAACTGATATAGATAAGCTGGCTCCACAATCACTGTGCTAACCAGTAAAGCGTACTCATAGTAAAATAAATGTATTCGGAACAGGAACATTATACCCAATTTATAATAAAAGTCATATTTTAAATTATGCATCATACATATTATACATGTGACACTTTCATTTGCAAGGTATCTGAGACCTGGAATCAGTACTTTATATTTCTTTCAGTTTTGACTTTATAAGTAAAAAAAAATAATTAAAGTCAGTACAATGTAATTTAAGTACACATTATTATGCTTCATTAAAAAAAACTAATGTATTTTAACA